GAGAAGTGGGCGTGTCCGTTGCCATCCATTATTATCGCAACGTGGTGAGGTTCCATTGGCGGCTGGGGGTGAAGAGGTCCTCGACGCGGTGAATGGAAAGAGCAGGTAGAGGAGCTGGCGCAGGTCCAGGCGAGGGGGGTCGATGACGGGGTCGCTTGCGTGTGGATTCTACGTCCGCGGTTTGCGTCGCAGTGTGCAACTCCTCCTGAATCATCTGGTGGATCACGCGTGAGATGTGGCCCCTCTCGGTCTCCAGAAAGAGGAGACTATACACGGGTTTGTTACTAGAAACCTGTGGGGAGTCAAAGGTCTGCGGGTCAAGTCCAGAACTCAAACGCAACAGGAAAAGGAAAGAAGCAGCAAAAGCCGAATCGATGCTCATGAAGTTGTCGTGCTTTTTGATGTCTGGAAGAGATTGACGAGGGTGAGACTGAGGTCTTCTGCGGAACTCAAAAAATGTTGCCGTGAGGTTCCGGTGGACGTTGTCGTCAGCTTATAGCCGATGAAGCCGAAGGTCCCAAATGCATTCGACGGTGAGGAGTCGGGTGTAGAAACTTCGGAGTATTCTAAATACTTGTAGGCGAGCATGAATAAAAGATAAAAAACATCACGAGGTAGCCGAGGGTGTTGATAGGTGCAGAGGTTGGAGAAGCGTCAAATGAGAAAGGTTGGATCTGGAGTGTAATCGGGAGAAGCGGCCCAGGGCACCTCGGAAGTTGTAGTTGTCGGTCTGGACGATCCAGCACCGTCCACGGCAGTGATGGACAACTCCATGACCGCTTTGTGTAAGATCTTGACAGGCTAGCTCACCTCCAGCGCGGACTGCCGTGCACTTGCCCAAGGCTACACCTGTGATGACCACGCCGCCCGTGTTCAAGGCTAGATTCCAAGTGTTGTGTAACACTCGAGCTTGCCCCTGGCTATCCCAGACGACGTTGCCATAGAGCTTGGCTGCTTGGCAGTAAAAACCTGGGAGGCTGCCATCGTTGTGGCGGCGAGCAATATCCTGCCGCTCCGGAGAATGCCAAAGATGCCGGTCAATGTGGATGTATGTCCCCAGTAGATTATACTGTGGTCCTTGTCCGCCAGACCGAGCTTCGTGTGGTGTAACTCCAGGCTCGGGATGTGCAAGCGGATGTAGTCACGTCGGGACTCGTCCGTGGAGATGTGGGTCAGCTTCCGAAAATGAGCTCCTGTGATGTCAACGCGCGCCTCATTCAAAATTCGTGCTATGTGGCGTAGGTGGAGAGTTGAAACGTTGTTCATCTGTTGAGTGCGTTCACGGAGCCACGCAAACAACATCTCTTCAGGGTCTTGGACTACCGGAGGTCGTCGATGTGCTGGAAGTGGTGGGGGAGCAAAAGGCAAAGGTGTTGTTGAGGAGGGGGGGCGAGTAGTGTGTGGTGGGGCGGGAGGGCAAGAGGCCAAATGACGTTCTCGGGTGCTCAGGGGTGGAGGAGTGTGAGGAATGTGGCGGGCCGGTGAGTGCTGGTCGCGTAGAGTGGGAGGTTGGCGTCGAAATGGAAGGTGGTGACGGCGTGGGGGTGGGAACTGGGACCTAGCACGAGTCCTGTGGGCCATGAACGGTGGTTTCGGTGGTTGTAGTAAAACCGAAAAAGTTCTGGCCTTCTTGGTCGGAGTCGTGGATTGGGACATGTCCGCCCGCGAACTGTTGGAGGTTGTGGTCGGCTCCAACCAAACGCCTCGGGGGGGCGCACTGATCTATAGTGGGTGGAGACGGTGTGCGCGATTGCGCGTCAGAAGCTGGGGGAAGAATGGTGCTGCTGGTATGTGAGTGGGATCCGGCGGGGACGGGGGGGGGAGTGGACCGGCTCCATGCGGCGGTGCTGAACGGTGGTCGGTGGACGAAGGCGGGGTCAGGTGGTAGTGGTGGAGTGTCGTAGGTGGGTGAAGGTCGAGGCCGGGAACCGCCAGCACGAAGGCATGGGGCTGGAGGTACTGGTAGAAAAAGGGACGAAGGTGATCACCAATACAAAATATGTAAGCTCTGAGCCGACGAGGACGGCGAAGAATTGCATTCAAAATGCGGGCCATGAAAGGTCGCTGCGGGGCGAAAAACCTTTATAAACAGGCAGGGTGGTCAAGTTTGCTTAACAAAATTCACAAAGGACAAACATCCAGCAAGAAAACACGTTCACACAAAAAGGGGACCCAAAAGGATCAAAAGAGCCAAACGGGGGCCTAAGCTTGGGCGCCAGGGTTGATCCCACTTCTCAATACACCGCACAGCCCGGAGGGCAATCTCAAAGAAAGCTCGGAGAGCAATCCCTGATTTGACTGGGCCCCCCGAAGGAGGATGGTTTTGGGCTCGGAGAGCCATACATGCTGCGTGCCGGAGGCACATACTCTGGCCTGAGGCCCATAAGCTGACACCGCCTGAAGCATAGGTGCGCATAAGCGACTCACTCACGCACCAAAGGTGACGTGATATCCCGCTGGCATCTACTAGCGCAGTCGAGGTTCCCGAAGGACACACATAAGGCCTGTTATTCCGTGAGCCACTTAAGGCGGGTCTTTGGATTTTCACAAGACGAGCGCCATGAGGGGGCCAAGCATGAACACGAAGGAGATCAGGCTTCCTTGAAGTCGTAATCAAATAAGAGTACTGGGCGGGGTTTCGTCAGCTTACCTTCCCGATCTGTTCGCCGCGGCTACTCGTCAGTGCCCATGACTACCGCGACAAGGCACTAAGAAAGGGGGCCGGTTTGCTGGCATGGGCAGACTGCATGAAATAGAAAACAGAAAAAGCTCACTGCCGAAGCAGACCCTTTCCGGACGTCAGGATTTACACACACACGCACACGCACACGCACACGCACACGCACACGCGCACGCGCACGCACACGCACACGCACACGCACACGCACACGCACACGCACACGCCCACGCCCACGCGCGCGCACACGCGCACACGCACACGCGCACACACACACACGCACACGCGCACACGCGCACACGCGCACACGCGCACACGCGCACACGCGCGCATGCGCGCATGCGCGCATGCGCACACGCGCACACGGGCACACGCGCACACGCGCACATGCGCACACGCGCACATGCGCACACGCGCACACGCACACACGCGCACACGCGCACACGCGCACACGCGCGCACGCGCACACGCGCACACGCACACACGCGCACACGCGCACACACGTACACACGCACACACGCGGGCATGCGCGCGCGCTCACGCACACGCACCCACCCACGCACGCACCCACACACAGGCACACACACACACACCAGACACACGCACACACACAGAGACACACAGACACACACACACACAGACACACACACAGACACACACACACACACACACACACACACACACACACACACACACACACACACACACACACACACACACACACACACACACACACACACGCGCGCGCCACGCACACGCACACGCACACGCACACGCACACGCACACGCACACGCACACGCACACGCACACGCACACGCACACGCACACGCACACGCACACGCACACGCACACGCACACGCACACCCACACCCACACCCACACCCACACCCACACCCACACCCACACCCACACCCACACCCACACCCACACCCGCACCCGCACCCGCACCCGCACCCACACCCGCACCCGCACCCGCACCCACACCCACACCCACACCCACACCCACACCCACACCCACACCCACACCCACACCCACACCCACACCCACACCCACACCCACACCCACACACACACCCACACCCACACCCACACCCACACCCACACCCACACCCACACCCACACCCACACCCACACCCACACCCACACCCGCACGCACGCACGCACGCACGCACACGCACTTACGCACTTACGCACTCAAGCACTTACGCACGTACGCACGTACGCACGCACGTACGCACGTACGCACGTACGCAAATTTGCACATATGCACATATGCACATTTGCACGCACGCCCGCCCGCCCGCCCGCCTGCCCGCCCCCCCCCGCCCACCCGCACACCCCCACACCCGCGCACCCCCACACCCACACCTACACGCACACGCACATGCACATGCACATGCACATGCGCACGCGCACGCACACGCGCACGCGCACGCACACGCACACGCGGCCAAACCCGCACCCGCACCCGCACCCGCGCCCGCGCCCGCACGCGCACGAGAACGCGCGCACCAGCGCACCCGCGCCGCGCCGCGCCGCGCGCCGCAGCGCCCGCGCGCCGCGCGGCGCGCCAGCACCTTCGCGCGCCTGCACCGCGCACCGCGCGCCCGCGCACGCGCACGCGCTGCGCGCGGCGCCCGCGCACCAGCGCACCCGCGCACCCGCGCACCCGCGCACCCGCGCACCCGCGCACCCGCACGCGCGCACGCGCACGCGCACGCACACGCGCTGGCACCACCCACCCACCCACCCACCCAACCACCCCGCTCCCCACCCCCTTCACCCCACCCCCTTCACCCCCCCTCCCCACCCTCTTCACCGCCTCCCCCACCCCCCGATTTCCCCACCCCCCCACCCCCCCACCCCAACCCACCCCACACACAACAGGGCTAGCGGAAGCTGAAGCGCCCCTTGATTGCAACACCTTAATTGAACTTTTGCGCTGGCTATGCTGACCCAAAGTGTTCGCCGAGTGTTCACCGTCAGTCAAAGCAAAAACAACGGGATTTTGGCGCCCATGGGCCATGGACCGATCCATGTGACTGGAGATCAAGCCCCAAACATTCGCATGAGTCGCTTGGCAACTCTGCGGCTGCTGGTGTCATTGCTGCTACTGCTGGTACTGCTGCTACTGCTGCTGGTACGGCTACCTCGTCGACGAGGTTCCAAACGCTCGGGCTCAAGAAGATGAGGTTTCACCCAGCCGCCCACCCACATGCTATTACTGTGGGCTGGAGAGAGAGGCTGTGTGTGTGTTTGTGTGTGTGCAGGTGCGAGCCTAACTGACAGCATTCAAGACGCTGCAAGACGAGTAGCCTTTCAATGCGTTGGCAGCCCACACGCACTTCTTGCATCAACCTCAGCAACCAACAAGCATTGGGCGGCATGTTGGATGCAAGCCGCTCAGCTGCAAGAAAACTCTCCGGCCAGAGTGTTTATTGGCGGCGCAAGAAAGGTGGCGGCGGCAGACACTTCAGACTGCGCTTGTTTGTTCGCAGCTCCGGTGTTTGGCTTTCGATCATTTTTGGAGCCTGGGAGCCCAAAGCGCTGCTCTTTGCGCAGGTGTTTCTACCAGCACCTTTGGAGGGAATTTCCGTGCCTTGGTCTTGACAGCTGCCGCACAACAAGTGAGCCTGAGATTCATCAGACCCAACCTATGTCAAGAATTATGGCCCCTGGAGTCATCCAACTATGTGGCTTTTCTGTTAACAGGAATTCGGACTTTTGCGTGAGTCTCATTGGTCCCACGCGGCAAGTAGTTTTGTATGCTCTCGCGACTTAAGTAGTTTGTGGAGCCCGCAACACCTAGCCTCAGGCACGGCTGGCGCCAGCGCGATCGGAAGCTTCCGAAGCTTGGCTGAGAGTAAGGTCTTTCTTTGTCTGTCTCAACTGTTGAAGACATGAAAGACAGCCAGTTTAGCAATTGTCCACCTTGCTATTGGCTTCAAATAATGAATATGGGACCCTTGTGCGCAGGTTTACAGTGATCAATTGGGGCGGGGGCTGTGCGCCGACGTTTCAATTCAGCAGCTCACCATGCACATGTGCTTGAAGGTTTGCTTCAGGCACATAAGCTGTAAAAGACCATAAGTGTGGTAGCTAGCGCCTTGTGAGTTGCCCAGCGTTGTTTTGTGATTGCGGTTGTGCTTATGTGTGCTTGCTTGCGTTTGGGTGTGCGCGCGTGTTTTGTGTTTGTGTGTGTGTGTTTGTCGGGTCGCGTGTTGTTTGTTTGTGTGTGTGTGTGTGCGTGTGTGTGTGTGTGCGTGTGTGTGCGTGTGTGTGTGCGTGTGGTGTGTGTGTGTGGTGTGTGTGGTGTGTGTGGTGTGTGTGTGTGGTTATGTGTGTGGTTATGTGTGTGGTGTGTGTGGTGTGTGTGTGGTGTGTGTGGTGTGTGTGGTGTGTGTGGTGTGTGTGTGGTGTGTGTGGTGTGTGTTTGTGTGTAGTTTGTGTGTGTGGTGTGTGTGTGTGGTGTGTGTGGTGTGTGTGGTGTGTGTGTGGTGCATGTGGTGTGTGTGTGTAGTGTGTGTGTGTGATGTGTGTGTGGTGTTTGTGCTGTGTGTGTGTGGTGTGTGTGTGTGGTGTGTGTGGTCTGTGTGTGGTTTGTGTGGTGTGTGTGTGTGGTGTTTGTGGTGTGTGTGGTGTGTGTGTGTGGTGTGTGTGTGTGTGGTGTGTGTGTGTGTGGTTATGTGTGTGGTTATGTGTGTGGTGTGTGTGTGGTGTGTGTGGTGTGTGTGTGGTGTGTGGGGTGTGTGTGGTGTGTGTGGTGTGTGTGTGTGGTGTGTGTGTGGTGTGTGTGGGGTGTGTGGGGTGTGTGGTGTGTGTGTGTGTGTGGTGTGTGTGGTGTGTGTGTGGGTCTGCGGGTTTTAGTGTGTGTGGGTGTGTCTGAGACAGAGAGAGAGAGAGAGAGAGAGAGAGAGAGAGAGAGAGAGAGCGAGAGAGAGTGTAGGTGCGCTCAGATAATTTTGGCGCGGGCGCGATGTGTCGGTGCGTGTGGATGCATGTGCTTGGGGACTCTTGACCTAGGATGTTGTAGTTGCAGCCTGCATTGCCATCAGGTAGCACCACTGGCACATTTTTTCGCCAGTGGCCAAGTTTGTCGGCGTGACTGCCTTCATGTGCGTCCCGCGACGCAAGCTCCGGGACTTGCTTGGCCAGTTTGCAGGAACCAGTGGTAAGTAGCGCCAATTGTAGGAATGGTTGCGCTTCATCACGAAGTTCCTCGAGCCTGCCATTCTTTTCCAACGTGCACTATGGGAAAAGACGTTGCAACATTCTTGGCTGTGAAAGTCGTGACGCCAGAGGCATCATTTTCCAACTCACCGAGCCCGGTATGAGCTGATGTTATAGGCTGAGAAATCCAGAATGGCCCCTTGAGGCCGGGATTCCCACAACTCAGCCAGCAGTGGCGACGCACGGGTGCGGAGAGGGGACTTGAGGGGCTGCGGGCAAGCATGCAACTCACGGGGGATAAAAGGGCACAAGGCTTGCGTCAGCAGTCGCGTAGGGGTTGAGAGCTTGAGAGTTCGAGTAGTCATGTGACATGTGCTTTCATGAGAGTGAGTGGCGTGAAGCATTACTCTGCAATGTGCGATGTTCTGACGGCTAGCGAGTTTTAGTTTTGCGCAAGCTAGGTGGGAAGACAGTTGGCAGCATGGAGTTTGGCGCAACCAGCATGTCCAACAAGTGTAGTAAGGCGTTTTCCAGAGTAATTGAAAAAAGGAGAGCCGAGGAACCCAAAAACAAAGATGTGAACAAATATTTGTGAATGACTGTCAGCGCCTGCCCAAGCAGTTTGCAGGCAGGAGGTGGGCGACACAGGCAGACCGACAATGCTGCTATTGCTGCTGCGTGGGTTATGCCTTTTTGCTATGGCCCCTCGAAAACTCCACGGACAATCGGGTACCCACACACGCACGCACACCTCCACTGGCACCCCTGCATGTCGGCTCGCTTTGCTGGTCTTTGGTCTCTTTCCATTATGCTTTCGGGCCACCCGTGGTTCTAGTGGTTTTTGCCTTTTGCTTTTGGACGATTTCTAAGCTGCGCGCGCGGGGATTGGGGTGGTTGATGTGCAAAAAAACTGAGGACTTTTTACGATTTCTGACTTGCCCACGCGCTGCGAGGATTGGCGTGGCGGATCGCACGAAACGCTAGTAAAATGCTACCTTTTCAAGTCGGAACGCGGGTTTGAGAGTTTGTCTCGTGGTTACGCGCCTGCTCTTGGCAGTGACCGGCCCCGGGCTCGAATCCTGCTTGGTCTCCGCGGCCTTTAAGTTAGAAAGTCAGCAGCGCGAAAGTGGCTCACAAAGGGTGCGTTCGTAGCTCCGGCTCAAATCGAAAGGTTGCCACGTTGCGGTCAGCGCTGCACGCAGAGAACTTGCTCGGAGAACTTGCTCATAGAAACTTGTCCCGAGCGTAGCGCTTGCACGTCGCAACTTGCTTAGAGCACTTGCGCCCGCAGAGCAACTTGCGCTGAACACTTGGGCCGAGCACCCGCGCAGAGCAGCACTTGTATAGAATTCGCAACACCGAAGCTTATCAGTCACAGAGGGGCAAACTTTGCAGATATCCGCGGTAGCACACGCAGCACCACCAACACACACGCACGCACGCACGCACGCACGCACGCACGCACGACGCACGCACGCACGCAGGCACGCACGCACGCACGCACGCACGCACGCACGCACGCACGCACGCACGAGAACAACACACAAGCAACATCCCCTCCTGGACAACCACTCCACTAGCATCCCCGCATGTCAGTTTGATAGTTTGGGCAGCCGAGTGCTGCGTGCGAGCTTTGTGCGCGCAGACGTTTCTGGGCTCGGAAGCCGTTTGACTGGCAATTCACTTTTTTTGCCTGGAAGACAAGGTGTGTCGGAATGATTTTCTCACATTTAGTGCTCGAGGAATTTCAGAGATGCGGCAGCCAAGTGCTGCTTGAGAGCAACACACAAGCAACATCTCCTCCTGGACAACCACTCCACTAGCATCCCCGCACGTAGGCTTGATTTGTTTGCACTCTTGACGTTTGAAGAGTTTGAGAGACGCGGCAGCCAAGTGCTGCTTGAAAGCTGCAGCCAAGTGCTGCTTGAGAGCAACACAAGCAACATCTCCTCCTGGACAACCACTCCACTAGCATCCCCGCATGTCGGTTTGATTTGTTTGCGCTTGACGTTTGAAGAGTTTGAGAGATGCGGCAGCCCAGTGCTGCATGCGAGCTTTGTGCGGGGAAGATCCTGCTTCCGCGCACATGGGCCTGGGGAGTGACAAGTTCGACGAGCCTGAGAACACCGGCGTGACTCACTAGACTCTTCGGCTTCGACGCCAGAAGGAGCTCTTTGACGCATGGCGCCGTGAAGCAGCTGAGCAGGAGCCCATCAGCAGCGGCCGAGCCCGATCGCGTTCGCCTAGGCGTTCGAGCAACTTCAGAAGACAAGTGGCCCCAGCTTGACTCTACTAAGCGTGGCCAATGACGTTTGAAGAATTTGAAAGACGCAGTGGCCAAGTGCTGCGTGCGAGCCTCGTGCCCACAGACGTAGGTGCGCTCGGGAGTGACGCGGTCTGTGCGGTCTTCCGACGCAGCTTGCGTTTGACTGGCAATCCACAGCTTTTGGCCTGCAAGCCATTGATGGCATGGAAGAAAAAGTCGCTCGGATGTCTTTGCTTGCACTTCATGCTCCGGGAATTCGATAGATGCGGCAGCCGAGTACTGCATGAGAACAACACACAAGGAACATCTCCTCCTGGACAACCACTCGACTAGCATCCACGCACGCACACACGCGCACACACGTGCACACACACACACACACACACGCATACACCCACACACGCACACCCACACGCATACTCTTTGCAAGCAGCAAAAGCTCTTAGGTGGCAGCCTTGCGCTGAGCTGCAAGCATCGAGCCATGCCACGTCGTCAAGCTGTGCACTAAACTAGACTGGGGCTTGCTGAGCTTCTTTTAAACCAACCAACATTCTGGCTTGCTCCTTCGTATTGGCTTGCAAGGTTTTTGGGCTATAAGGTGGTTCATCGCTGCGCCTCTGTGGGCCAAATCCCACCGGCGCGCGGCCTCCAGAACCTCCCGTCACCTCGGCGCTGCTTGCAATTCAGCCGGCGCACTCGCTGACAGTCATGGTCGTAGCCGGCAAGCCGCTCGTTCGGCGATTTCCCCACCAGCGGCGCTTGCACGGTATGCTGCAAACTCGGTACACTTGAGGCCCGACCACCTGCGGTATGCGGTATACTCGGCAAAGCTCGGCACACTTGAGACCGGTCACGTTCTTGGCGGTGCTTGCGCGGCATGCTGCAAACTCGGCCCTGCGGTGCGCGGTAGACTCGGCACACTTGAGACCGGTCCCGTTCTCCACCCGCCTGCGCAACATCCCCCGCATCTCCTGCAGCCCTCCGGCTTAAGCAATAAAGGGGCTGCCGCCCGGTGCCGCCGACCCCAATTTGGTCAGCCTTATTGATCCCCTTACTTCCACCCGCCAGAAAGGTTGACGTTTTTGTTTTCACTAGCTGCGGGCTGGTTTACCGGTACTTGTGGCCGGTGTTTTTTCCACCCCGCTGCGGCCTGCTTTTACCGGCCCCTGTGGCCTGCTTTCTTCCACCAGCTTTCGGGCTGGTTTTACCGGTCCCGCGGCCTTTTTTATCCCACCAGCTTCGGGGCTGGTTTTCACACAGCAAACATATGAAAATACAAGGCCAAACTCTCGCAATCGTTTTCGATGTTTTTGAAACAGGCTCTTTCATTGCTTTGACATTGTTGAACAAGCATGGAATGTACCCAGCAAATTGAACAAGTCCATTTGATAACCTGATAGCCACGAACCCGAATGCAAAAGATGGCCTTGGGAATGCGCATTTCGTCAACTCGAGCAATGTTGTCCAGCTGGAGACATGTTTCGGGCGACGTTTTGAGCTTCTGACCGACCGTTCAACCGACGCCTCTAAATATTCTTCGCAACACTCGCAAGCGACTTTTGTCACTGACACTTTTGAGAGACGCTTCTGAGCAAGAGCTTGAGCAACGGTGACACTTCTGAACACACTTTCAAGCGATATTTCGATTTACGCTCCTAAGAAACACCTCTGATTGACGCATCTAAGCGTCAAGCGCCAATCCTGAAGCCATAATTCTGAGCGACAAACTACGGCAAACTGAGCGACACCTCTACACACACATAAGCGACACTTCTGAGCAACACTTCAAGTGACACTTCTACACTTTACACACACACACATACACGAAATCGACAATTCTACACACATATCTGAGCGACACTTTTGAGCGACACTCCTGAGCAACATTTGTCTGCGACACCTCTGAGCAACACTTCCGAGCAACACTTCTGAGCGATACTCCTGAGCGACACTGCGGAAAACACCTCTGAGCGACACTTCTGAGCCACATGCACTTCTACACGCACATCAGCAACACTCCTGGGCGACACTCCTAAGCGACGATTATGAGCGACACTTCTGAGTGACGCTGCTGAGCGACACTGCTGAGCAACACATCTGATCGACACTTTTGATCGACACTTCTGAGCAACACTTCGATCCGAGCAACGCTTCTGGTCGACACTTGTGAGCAACACTTCTGATCGACACTTCTCAGCAACACTTCTGATCGACGCTTCTGAGCAACACCTCTGACCGACACTTCTGAGCGACACTTCTGACCGACACTTCTGAGCGACACTTCTGATCGACGCTTCTGAGCAACACTTCTGAGCAACACTTCGATCCGAGCAACGCTTCTGGTCGACACTTCTGAGCAACACTTTTGATCGACGCTTCTGAGCGGCACTTCATGAGCGACACGAGCGACAATTCTGATGAAAAAACTTCTGATCGACGCTTCTGATCGAGACATCTGAGCAACGCTTCTATTTGACTTTTCTGAGCCACACTTCTGAGCGATGCGACACTTCTGAGCAAGACTTCTGCACACCACTTCTGATCGATACTGCTGATCGACACTTCAGATTGACACTTCTGAGCGACGCGTGAGCAACACTTCTGAGCAACACTGCTGACCGACACGTCTGAGCGACACTTCTGAGAAATGCAGCTTGTCTCGTCTCTTGCCACGTCTCTTGTCTTAATGAACACTACTGAACGACACTTCTGATCGAAACTTGCGATCGACACTTCTGATCGACACTTCTGAACAACACTTCAGATTGACACTTCAGATTGACAGTTGTGATCGTTTTGTCTCTCTCCCTCTCTCTCTCTTCACTCTCTTCACGCTCTCTCTCTCTCTCTCTCTCTCTCTCTCTCTCTCGCTCTCTCTCCATACTTCTGTAATCGACATCTGAGCACCACATCTGATCGACACTTCTGAGCAACACTTCTGATGGACACTTCTGATCGACACTTCTGATCGACACTTGTG